CATGGAAAATTTAAGTTGAAACATTTCGGTTTAGTGGATCATTGAAGTATTGAATTGATAAACAACTAGTCTCTGTTGTTTGGTCATTGTAAAAATGTAATTCGCGCTGCCACATGTTTAAAGCTTGTAAATAAACTTGAGAAAATTTAAAATCCGAAAAATTATTCACCAAAATAATTAAAAAATAACAAAAAGAAATGCAGGCTGACATGACGCAATGACATTTAGCGTTGTGCCAAAGATCGAAGGTCGGACTGTAACAATGGAATAACTAATTCCTCTACGAATCGTCCAGCCGTTTTGGTGATCCCTGGGTTCTGGTACATTGCAGGAAGTATAAAAGTCACCATTGTTTTGTTTTTAAGTAATCCTCGAAAGAAAAGCAATCAACAGCTTTGTCATCTAGTTATTCCTGCTCGTGGGTGCCACCGTTCAAATTATTTTGGAATGAATTCGCTTCTCACAGATAAGTTACAGTCACACGTTTTGCCACTCGTTTCATTTCCAAGCGCCATCGCCCTTCAGACTGGATGGACAGAGAGGAACTTTTTGACATTCCTCTTTAGAAAATGGATCAAGTTTCATAACAAAGTAAAGAATATTCAAGATTGAGTAATTGCAGAAAAAAATTAGGACGAAAAAAAGTGTTAAAAATCCGTAGCCATGCAGCTTCGCAATTAAGAGAAGCACACTGTTCCAGAAAGTTACGCAAAAACGCCGCAACTTTTCAGTTTTTTACTGGAAAATAGGAATGCTCACCGAAAGAGGTAAAAGCCAGTTTCTGCTAGGAATAAGTAGTAATTCACCGCTAATAACCATTCCCAAATGTGGTATCGCATCACCATATTTGCATTTCACAATCGTTTTGCCTTTTTTTGCATGCAGATTGATCATTACATTTTGGTACATCTTCTCCGGAAGAATTAGATGTTTTCTTGCCGGCGTCACCACTGCCGTGTATGGCCCTCCTGTGATGTCACCTTTTGGAGTGACCACTGTTATGCTGAAAAAATGAATAAGCTTACTTGTCAAACAGCCGACATTTTTTTGCAAATTACAGAAAAAAAAAAACACTGCGTGAAGTGCATGACATCTATGCTGCTGTTGTGGTCACGAGAGTGTTAGCTGCTCATTCACATGCAGTTCAAACTTTGTTGTGGTATGATGAAAGCTTTTCTGTATAGAATAGTATGCGCAGTACACAAGCTGGCTAAAAAATGAGACATATACTCCAGAACAGAATTACTGTACACGATAGGGACTCAACAAACGAAGAGTCCTTACCGCCGCGAGAGCAAGATCGAGTGGTGTCGTGAGAGCGATCGAATGCGGAAGAACGGCGGCTGCAGTCCTGTCATTACTTTGATCAGTGATTGTATTGTTATTATTAGTCGCCTAATTAGTTGTGAGCGAGACTGTATTTGAAGTTAGGTTAGGAGAGGCTCCAGGCGGCCACATAATGCAGCATCATCCCAGCCGATGCCAGTTCTCCCGCATGCGAGAAAAGGCCAAAACACAGCTAGTATGAGCCCTAGTGTTAAACTACAGTGCAGGGACCATTCTTGCTGTTAACGATATGCAAACTTAGTGCAAAAACGCATAATCGCATCGACAAAATTGGTGCGTTGCAGTCTGGGTTCAGTTTATTTTCGAGCTTCTGAAAAATTCAAAACAGACTTGTCAACGGTGAAAAGCCATCTCGCGCTGGAAATTGCATTGGTGGTGAGCGTCTTGTTGCCGCACAAATAGAAATCATCATTGCCAAGAAGCATTGCCCCGCCAAAGACACTCGCATCCACATTGTTCGGACTACAAACTCCAACAGTTTAGAATGGGCCTCAAGCTCAAACTGCTTGCAGTATGTTTACATAAACACTGCACGAATAAGAGCCATCCCAGCCTTGACAGTGGGTGCTTGGAGTGATACGGTTTCGGCAGCAATAAATAATGATTGGTAACGCGCATCAAGCAGTTTCGTGCGATCATGCATTTTTGTAGTATTTAGTGCTTTAGCAAGATCGCTTGGAATCTCAATGGCTAGTCTGGTTCTCAAAGTTCAGGAAGTTACTGTGCAACTAAATGGCATTCGGACAGGTAAAATTCTGTTGAAGTTTCAGCTTTCCCACTTTTCTGGTTTCCGGGTTAGCAATTTTCTTACCAAAAACTTGCATGGGACCGTACGTGAGAACCACGTACACGCGGGAACTGAATTTGAAACCTTTAAGTTGTACATCTGCTGAGGGGGTTCCCATAAAATTTCAGCGCTCCAACTTCCCTGATTCCAAGTTAGCAATTTTCCCACCAAAAATTTGACATGCTCGTGTAAATTCGAATTATATTCCCATTTCTTTTGTAACTGTCATGTGATAATTATAGAT